CTAAGAGCCTCCAACGCTTCAGCCCCGTGCCCACAAGGGCCCCGATTTTTGTGGAACTGTGGCCCAGCTTAAGAATCCAGGATGTCCTTTTCCATTGCCTGTTCTGTGAATTAAAAAAGAAAAAAAACACAGCATCCTATTGTCAGATGTGTGAGCTTCCAATTGTATGGAAGCCTGGAGATGGACATTTGTAGGTAAATCTCTGTTTAGATAACTTTTTTTTTTTTTGACAGGCAGAGTGGACAGTGAGAGAGAGAAAGGTCTTCCTTTTACCATTGGTTCACCCTCCAGTGGCCGGTGCGGTTGGCACGCTGTGGCCGGCGCACCACGCTGATCTGCAGCCAGGTGCTTCTCCTGGTTTCCCATGGGGTGCAGGGCCCAAGCACTCCCGGGCCACAGCAGAGAGCTGGCCTGGAAGAGGGGCAACCGGGACAGAATCTGGTGCCCTGACCAGGACTAGAACCCGGTGTGCCGGTGCCGCAGGCAGAGGATTAGCCTATTGTGCCGCAGCGCCGGCCTGTTTAGATAACTTTTTAAAAATGATCTATTTATTTATTTGAAAGGCAGATTTGGGCGGTGGGGGAGGAGAGACAGAGAGAGTTTCCACCTGCTGGTTCACTTCCTAAATGGCCACAACAGCCAGGGCTGGGCCAGACTAAAGCCAGGAGCCAGGAGCTTCTTCTGGGTCTCCACTTGGGTTCAGGGGCCCAAGGACTTGGGCCACCCTCTGCTGCTTTCCCAGGTGCATTAGCAGGGAGCTGGATCAGAAGTGGAACAGCCTGTACTTGAACCTGCGCCCATATGGGATGCAGGCGCTGCAGGCCGGGGCTTTAACCTGCTGCACCACTGTGCCAGCTAGATAACTTTCTAAAGATGGCGTTTCTAGATCAAATGCATTTATTTTCAAAGGAAAAACAACCTTCGATTTTACTTTTTTTCTATAAAGAGCATGCATATGCAAATACCTGGTGGCCCCTGCTTTTGCAGTGCCTCTTGGTAGTTTTGCCAGGCAGTGTGGCAATTCTCCGCTTCACTGTTGGAGGAAAAGCTGTGCTGTCTCCCACTGGCAGCACCACTTCACGTTCCCTCTGGCAGTGCACAGGGGGCCCAGTGTTTCCACATCTTCACCAATGCTTGCTGTTTTCTATTTTTTGGGTTACAGCCGTCCTAGTCAGGGTGCAGTGTGATCTTACTGTGGTTTTGATTTTGATTTTCCTAATGACAGACAATGAAGAGCATCTTTCCACGTGCTTTTTGGTCCTCTGTGTCTCGGCTTAGAACAGACGTCCAGTGCTTTTCTTGTTTCCTAAGTTGTTTGTCTTATTGTTGTTGATTTGGAGGAGTTCTTTATATAGTCTAGATGTTTACTCCTTATGAGATACACGGTGTGCAGATACTTTCCTGCGTTATGTGGCTGCCTTTTTACTCTGTTAGTAGTGTCCTTTTTAAAAGTGTATAAATGTGTGTATATGTATATATATCTTGTATATATTTATGTTTATAAATATATATTTTATATGTGCATATGTATTTTTTTGTTTGAAAGGCAGAGAGATCTTCTGTCCACTGGATTACTCCCCAAATGCCTTCCATAGCTGGGGCTGGGCCAGATCAAATCCAGGAACCCAGAATTCAATCCAGGTCTCCCACATGGGTAGCAGGGACCCAAGTACATGGCCGTCCTGCTGCCTCCCTGCGTGCACCTCAGCAGGAAGCTGGGTTGGAAGTGGAGGCAGGACTTGAACTCAGGCCCTCTGATATGGGATGCAGGCGTCCCAAGCAGTGGCTTCACTTGCTCATCACAATGCCTGCCCCGTAGTATCTTTTGATGTACAAAGATTTTGTTTTTTTTAAATTTTTATTTAGATTGATTTATTTATTTGAAAGGCAGAATTACAGAGAGGGATAGATAGAGAGAGAACCTCCATTCACTGGTTCACTTCCCAAATGGTCCCAACAGCTGGGGCTGGGCCAGGCCAAAGCCAGGAACTTCATCCAGTTCTCTCACATGGGTAGAAGGCGTCCAAGCACTTGGGCCATCTTTCTCTGCTTTCCCAGGTCCCTTAGCAGGGAGCTGGATCAGAAGTAGAGCAGCTGGGACTTGTCCTGGTGCCTGTGTGGTTTGCTGGCATTGCAGGCAGTGGCTTAACCCACTGTGCCACAGCGCTGGCTCCTGTGTGCTATATTTGAACAGTACTTTATTAATGGGTATTTTGGGTGTTTTTAGCTTTTTTTTTTTTTTTTTTTTTGACAGGCAGAGTGGACAGTGAGAGAGAGAGACAGAGAGAAAGGTCTTCTTTTTGCCGTTGGTTCACCCTCCAATGGCCACCGCGCTGATCCGATGGCAGGAGCCAGGTGCTTTTCCTGGTCTCCCATAGGGTGCAGGGCCCAAGCACTTGGGCCATCCTCCACTGCACTCCCGGGCCACAGCAGAGAGCTGACCTGGAAGAGGGGCAACCGGGACAGAATCCGGCGTCCCGACCGGGACTGGAACCCGGTATGCCGGCACCGCAAGGCGGAGGATTAGCCTAGTGAGCCGTGGCGCCGGCCTGTTTTTAGCTTTTTAACTTATGAATAGTCCTGGGATGAACACAGCATTCATATATCATCATTCATATATCATATATCATTCATATATCATATATTCATGTATTGTATAACATGGCATTCATATTGCTGTTTTGTAAAACATCCCCCCAAGTACCTTGTAAGGTTTGCCTTGCAAGATGCACGTTTCCCTTGGAAGCTGGAACCGATTCGCAGCCCTACTGGCTGCCCCACGTGCATGTCCCCGATTATGCTTAAAATGCAAACCCTCAGGAGGAGAAGCACCTGGTTCCTGGCTTCGGGTCAGCGCGATGCGCTGGCCGCAGCGCACCGGCCGCGGTGGCCATTGGAGGGTAAACCAACGGCAAAAGGAAGACCTTTCTTTCTCTCTCTCTCTCTCTCACTGTCCACTCTGCCTGTCAAAAAATAAAAAGAAAAAAAAGTAAAAGAAAAAAAATGGAAACCCTCACCAATCCTTTGGGTGGGAATGGTTTGTCGGTGTTTTAGCCTGAGCCTCTTGGAGCACCAGCAGGTGGACCATGAACAGTCTTGTTTTTCCTTGCAGAAGCCCCTGAACGTGACGGTGATGCGCAGAGGGCAGAGACACCAGCTCAGGCTCGTCCCAACGCGCTGGGCCGGGAAGGGGCTGCTGGGGTAACGTATCTGCTTGTGTCGGTGGTTAGCCATGAACCCCGGGGCAGGGCAGAGGTGGGGGACTCCGGAGGATGGGAACCCCCCTGGTGTGGGAAGGAGCCTGCAGGTGCAGAGGCGGAGAGAACCCTGGCGTCTCTCCTAAGGCTCCCTCTGCCTCCTTCCTTAACTGGGTAACTGTTTCAAAACCGCGGGTGACGGTCAGTTCAGAAGGACCCACCTTGTGCTCTGCCCGACGCGGCCGGCAGACTTAGCGCTCCCTTCCCCCCTCCTTCCAGCTGTAACGTCGTGCCTCTGCAGAGATGAGTGTCGCGGGCACAGCGGCAGGAAAGCATCTTCCCTCGCCCGGGCGTGGTCTGGTGTGGATGTCCTCATTGTCTTCTCCACCGGAGGCGTAAGGACCTGGAAGAGGCTGGAAGCCTGAACATGGAGGGGTGCGACACTGTGGCCTCCCGGTGTAATCTCTCTGGATTAAGGCATTGTTTAAAACTTGATTTGTGCCTAGCGTCTTTTGCAAATTAGGCCACGGCCCTGAATGGGAATTCTCTGGACTGTGGCCAAGTGGGCAGGAGTCATTCTGGCAGATGCTGATACCACTTAATTCTTTTAAGATTCTTTTTTTTTTTCCCCCAAATAAACACAGTTTTGCCGTGCTGATAGGACCGTGTTGTCACCCCAGCTGACTCCTGCGACCCTAGCAAACCACAGCTCGGCAGCGAGCTGGGCAGAACAGACCAGCCCTCCTGCTGAAGTCGGCACCTGACCGTGCCGTTCTCTGCATCCAGGCTTCTGCTCTGGAACTGCAGGCCTGTTCGGCGTGCACCCATCCAGCGGGGCCCCAGGGCCACCCCAGCTCCCCAGGAGGGTCCCCTCGTGGCCCCGCATGGCGGCGGCTTCCCACCAGAGGGCAGCAGGCCCTTCACTCCCGGAATAAGATGGTGCGAAGTAGCCTCTCGCTTGACTCTGTGTGGAGGCCCCCGCCCCGCCCTGCCATCAGGTGTGCCCGCCACGTGACCGGGGACGATGCTGATTGTCTTCCCTTCTATTGTCTCTCTGTCTTGAAAGGGTGGAGGGGGCCTCGGTGACTGCTGCTGGCCGCGGTGTCAGCGTTCGTTTCGAGATCCCTGTGGAAGTCTGCTCCCTGCTTGGGATGGACGTGGACCCAGCTTGTCCTGGTGGCGGCGGGATCGGTGTAGCCTCCAGCCACCGGTTCTCAGCCTGTCTCCCCCAAACTCTTCCACACAGCCCAGGGGCCCCTCTCACAGCCACGGAGCTGCTGTGTTTGCTGTTTACATTGTGTGTGCTAAACGCCAATTTCTTTTCCTCAAGTCCCAGACTACAATAAACGCGGCCTGCACCATCCAGGTGCCCCCCCCCCGCGCCCTTTATTTTAAGATGTGTGCGTGTTCAGTTGACCGGCGGGGCGGGGTGGGCTGGGAGAGTCACCCCCATCCTGCAGGAGTGGCCTTGGCAGAGGCTCCAGCATCGGCCCCGTGCCCACCGGTGAGGGCCTGGCTGGCGGTCGCCAGGACGTGGACGCCGCTGATAGATGTCAGCCAGCAGGAGGCAGGCGGGCCGCCCGCCGCGACCTGGAGGCGGGGTTTGAAGCTCCTAACCGCCGGCCTCGGCCGCCGCAGTTTCTGCAGGGACGGCGGCAGGGGGCGGAGACCGTGCCGGGAGGAACGGGAGGGGAAGCAGAGCCCCCGCCCCGGCCCCGCCCCGGCCCCGCCCCGGCCCCGCCCCGGCCCCCGCAGGGGGCGTGCCGCCCCGCGCGCCGGTCTCGCCTCTCGCTTTACGCTCTACGCTCTCCGCTTTACGGCTAGGCGGCCGTGGCGGTTGCCATGGGGCAGAGCGTGGGTGGCAACCGTAACTAGGGAGCGCGCGGAGAAGGAAGCGGGGGTCGCTGGAGGTGGCCAGGCGGCGGGACCACCCCGGCCTTTGGCGAACCGAGGTGGACGTGGTCTGTAAGTCCGGGGAGGAGGCCTGGGGCTGGGGCAGGGTCCCCAGCGTGGCGAGGCCTGGCGCCTTGCGGGGTGGGGGTGGGCGGCAGGGTCTGAGGTGGGCCCGGGAGACCTGAGAGCTCGCCGCCCTCGCCGTCGCCCCGCCGCGGTTCACATGGACAGACCGTGCCGGAGAGATCTACTCTCCTAGGTCACTTCGCAGTGCCTGGCGCTCTGTCAGCTGCGGGGAGTACACTTCGCAGTGCCTGGCGCTCTGTCAGCTGCGGGGAGTACACGAGCGACTGCATGCCGACTTGCTTTTCTCCCTGTGACGGGTCCGGCGCTCGCTCGCTGCTGAGCGCTTTGCCCGTCCCGCGGTCTTCATGAGAGCCCCAGGACCTGGAATTACGATTATTTCCCCTCTCGCACACACATTTAGGTTATGTGGGTTAATTGACTTGCCCACTGTCACAGAGCAGGCGGGTGGTGGGATGGGATTCAGTGCGAGACAGGCACTTCTATAATGTTTTATAATTCTTATTTGTTAGGGATATAGAGACAGAGAGGTCCCTCTCCTATTCTCCAGTTCAGTCCCCAAATGCCCACAGTTGCCAGGTTGGACAAGGTCGAAGCCAAGAGCCCAGGACCCATCCTGTGTCCTGTGATGGTAACAGGGACCCGGGTACTTGAGCCGACACCTGCTGCCTTCCAGGGTGTGCATTAGCAGAAAGAATTGGGAGCAGAGCTGGGACTTGAACCCAGGCACTGCCTATGGGATGGTGGGCTTTCCACGAGGTGTCTGAACTGCACCAAACACCCACCCCCGCAGAGCGCCTGCTTTTGACCCCTGAGATACACTGTTTCTCTGGTTCCTATAGTCAGCATTGTTGCTGATGTCCGGGTTCTTTGTTTTGCTGCCTTGGGGTCTGGCAGTGTGGCGCAGTAGGTTAAGCTGCATCCCATGTGAGCACTGGGTCAGGTCCTGGCTGCTTCACTTCCTATCCAGCTCTCTGCTAACACACCTGGGAAGGCAGTGGAAGATGACCCAAGTGCTTGGACCCCTGCCACCCATGTGTGAGATCCAAATGGTGTTCCTGGCTTTGGCCTGGCTCAGCACCAGCCATTATGGCCATCTGGGGAGTGAAGCAGATGGAAGATTGATCTCTCTCTCCCTCTGTCCCCCCCACCCAGTAACCTTGCCCTTCAAATAAATCTTTAAAGAGGAGTCTAAGGTTACCCTTATAAAGATGAGAGCCCTGGGAACAATACTTTCTTTTTTAAAGATTTATTTTATTTATTTGAAAGGCAGAGTTACAGAAAGAGGTCCTCCATCCGCTGGTTCACTCCCCAGATGGCTGCAACAGCCAGAGCTGAGCTGATCCGAAGCCAGGAGCCAGGAGATTCCTCCAGGTCTCCCACGCGGGTGAAGGGGCCCAAGGACTTGGGCCATCTTCTACTGCTTTCCCAGGCCACAGCAGAGAGCTGGATGGGAAGAGGAGCAGCTGGGACTAGAACCGGCGTCCATATGGGATGCCGGTGCTTCAGGCCAGGGCTTTAACCCGCTGTGCCACAGTGCCGGCCCCGGAACAATACTTTTAAGATTTGGCCTGGGCTTTCCCAAGAACATGAATAGTGCTGTGGTAGGGAAGCAGAGCTCGGGACTGCACATGCATCGACAGCTTAGTGCACCAGGAAGTCAGAACAGCCTGCTGACGATCCTGACCCGCCTTTCTCTGAAGGAGACTCCCGGGGAAGAATGTCCGATGCCGGAGAAACCCCCCCAGAAGAAAGGAAAGGACACGGAGAGACAGAAATGGAAGAAGACGACGCCGACGCTGAGGAAGTAGATGATTCCCGCCCGGAATCAGGAGAGGACACGTTACCATGGAGGGGGTCGCAGGAGGAGGAAGAGGAGAGGGATGAGGAGGAAGAGGATGGGGAGGAGGGAGAGGAGAAGGTGGGAGAGGGGGAAGAGGAGGAAGAGGAGGAGGAGGAAGAAGAGGAAGAGATGGAGAAGGAGGAGGAGAGTGAGGAGGAGACTGAAGGAATGCAGAAGAAAACCTCCGTGAAGTACCGGGACTTCAAGCTGAAGAAAACTGCCTCTGACTCTCTGTCGGGCAGTTCCTTAGTAAGTGGTCACTGCGTCACCAGTCGCTCATCCTTCAGGATGGCTGCCGGCACCCTTGGTGTGCTCCAGCCTGTGGGTCAGAGACAGATGGCACCCGGTCTGTTCCCTTGAGGAGCCCTAGGGTGTGATGTGCCAAGTGCAGTGGGAGGGGCGCAGGGAGAGGCTCGGAGGGGAGACTTCCCGGAGGAGGTGTGTGCATGGCTGACTCCCAGGGGGCTCGCAGGCATCAGCTGACGTGTGACCAGGGGACCAGGGGCTTCCCGCAGACCTCTCCCCCGGGAGAACCCAGCTCTGGCCCAAGAACAAGTCCCTCTCCAGAGACTCCCCAGGGCCACTTAGAGGAGTGGTTGTGCTGTGGCAGGTGTGCTAGGAGGCCGAGGGTAAACCCGCATGTGTAAACCGCGGTTCATTATGTAAGCACAGAGTGTCCCGGTGTCCTTTTTTTTTTTTTTTTTTTTTTTT